AATGTTTAATGTCTGTTATTATCAGAGAAGATTTCATCATACTCCTCTACAGTTCAGAGACACGGAGGAGTACAAAGATCACAAAAAAAGTACAAACTTTCATAATCCACTGCCTGAGGTGGATCCTTAATATACTCTGGCCAGATCCCATTAATAACAGTGAGCTCACCTGCCATCACCAGGCAGACTCGGAGCTGGAGCCTCGTAGGCAATAGGAGAGGTCTGCCCAAGAACACATGACACAGGGACCTGGAGACATGGAAACTATGGACAACAACCTCCATCAGGGAGTGATGTAAGAAGAGGACTCTAAACCTCATCATGTTGTTTGTGTCTTAGAAAAGTAATTTCATTTCAGTTACTCTCATCCCTGATCACATGTAGCTGCACCCAGGAGACTGCTAGCTTAACATATGACATCAACAGCATCTTTGAATGTTACCCACCCTGGTTTGTTTCCCCTCTCCATTAACTAGAACGTGGAAACAACCAGTTGTTTCTTCTTGTTTGGTTTAAGCTGGTCTCAATGTGAAGCACCAACATGCTGCCTGTAACGTAGTAAAATGAATAAGTGATGATCCAACAGAGGCCCTCTATCTCAGTCCCTCATGCTGTATTTAATGTGATGTGAGCTGAAACGTATTCTTCTGAACATCACAGAAGCACAAAGTCAAACACAGTCTGGATCTTCTTCCACTCAGCAGACGTTTGGTAGTCAGTCCACCCAGCTGCACTGGGGTCGTCAGTGAGACAGACAGGTGAGGAGACTGCTTCAATGACCAAATAACTCCAACTGAAAGGAATTCATGTTTTTATTGGAAAGCTGGTCCTGTAGACTTTATCGATCCTCTTGTCACCTATCTGCAGCAGCAGTGTTTCCTTAACCGTCTGACCGAAATCAGCAGCGAGTTCTGTGGACTCGATGGGGCAGCGGGTCCTGTGGACTTGATGGGGCTGCTTGACCTCAATCTGTTGCAGTCTGACCTCGGTCTGCTTTCCCTTCAGCTTGATATAAACTCAGTTTGTATTTCTCATTACAGATTTCAGGAAAGGTGGCTGGAATTCTGAGAGAAAAGAGAATTAGCGTGTGTGCCAAGCACGGGGCTGGGGGGCGCTATAGCCCCATCATAAATCTGTCTAGCCACAGTCAAGCCCCCCCCCATTTTTTGGTAGTTTTCTTTTCTTTTTAAATAAACTGTAAAAATAGTTTCCCACACATAGACGATACTTGGGCGAGAGAGTGAGAGCAGGGGAGAGAGAGCGCGAGAAAGTGCAGGCGCGCATGTTGGCGTGTGCTAAAACATGCAACCATCTTCATCTAATGAAACATTGATGTTCAAGTTAAAGAAAATCGATCTTAACTTAATAAAAATATGGGAAAGGACAAGATGTGAGAGAGAGAGAGAGAGAGAGAGAGGAGCTCAAGGTGCCCCGGTAGTCTAAGCCTATAACAGCATAACTAGGAGCTGGTCTACACCTGTACCAGCCCTGACTATAAGATTTATCAAAAAGGAAAGTCAAGTCTATTCTTAGGCAGTGTGTCTGCCTCCCGGACACCGGGTGGAAGATGATTCCAGAGGAGAGGAGCCTGATAACTGAAGGCTCTACCTCCCATAGTACATTTAGAGACTGTAGGTACCACGAGCAGGCCTGATAACTGAAGGCTCTACCTCCCGTAGTACATTTAGAGACTGTAGGTACCACGAGCAGGCCTGATAACTGAAGGCTCTACCTCCCGTAGTACATTTAGAGACTGTAGGTACCACGAGCAGGCCTGATAACTGAAGGCTCTACCTCCCGTAGTACATTTAGAGACTGTAGGTACCACGAGCAGGCCTGATAACTGAAGGCTCTACCTCCCGTAGTACATTTAGAGACCGTAGGTACCACGAGTAGGCCTGATAACTGAAGGCTCTACCTCCCATAGTACATTTAGAGACCGTAGGTACCACGAGTAGGCCTGATAACTGAAGGCTCTACCTCCCATAGTACATTTAGAGACTGTAGGTACCACGAGCAGGCCTGATAACTGAAGGCTCTACCTCCCATAGTACATTTAGAGACCGTACCACGAGTAGGCCTGATGACTGAAGGCTCTACCTCCCATAGTACATTTAGAGACTGTAGGTACCACGAGCAGGCCTGATAACTGAAGGCTCTACCTCCCATAGTACATTTAGAGACTGTAGGTACCACGAGCAGCCCTGATAACTGAAGGCTCTACCTCCCATAGTACATTTAGAGACCGTACCACGAGTAGGCCTGATAACTGAAGGCTCTACCTCCCATATTACATTTAGAGTATGAAGGGTCTTTTGCATTCGCTTTATGTTTTCACACCGGAGGTTGCTGCTTGGTGGACAAGTGTTGTCTGTCTTTGATGGTTTTAACCCTTTGCTGAGGATGATGTTCTGGTCCTTTTTAAACTTTTGTCTTTAATTTTTTAATGTGAATTGAGATTTAATTTGAAGTCTGGATTTTGGTTAGCGTTTATTGTTTATATGGCAGTATTATAATACAACACACACTGATGCTCTTTGACTGCAGTCGTCTGTGAATCATCTTCCTATATTTACTGAGGGCCTTGGAGTGGCTGCAGAGAAGATTTTCCTTTAATTTCAGCCCCTCACATAGCAGCAGTGAAGTTTCTGTTACCTAGCAACCAACGGTCCAGCACCTCCATTTGTTTCTCAGTGTAAGGAGGAGGCTGTGTGGACATGAGAGGAGGGAGGGAATCTCCCCCATCCAATCAGTCAAATGATCTCTGAATTCAGTTTCTTTATTATCCAGATTAAACTGCTGTTTCCTGTCCAGGTGGTCCGGGATCAGATCTCTCACTGTACGGTGAAGCTGCGTCAGACCACGGGGCTGATGGAGTATTGTCTGGAGGTCATCAAGGAGAACGACCCCAGTGGATTCCTGCAGGTTCAGTAAAATCCTTCTTGTCCTGAAAAACCAAAAACTAAAGACTATTTCCATCTTTTGAAGTTTAGGATCCATTCATCTGAAGGGTTAGGGTTAATACATTTATGATCACTTTAATATATTTATGATCACTTTAATGGGGGGTTAGAGGTTAGAGTTAATTGATGGTGGCGTGATGGTTGCCGCAGTCTGATCCAGTTTATTGAAACTTAACGTAGCTGAGGTTTTTCATGAAGTGACTCTGATAAATGAAATGTTTGCTGAAATACAGTTTTTATATATGTGATGTGTATTTACAGGTGAATAAAGCTCGGAAATGGATCCACCTTCTCGATAGAAGGATTTAGTATTTAATACAGACTGGGGTGTAAGGTATCTGAGTTCTCCTAATGACTTCCTTTGTCCCACGTTGACCACAGATCTCCGACGCTCTGATCCGGAGGGTCCACATGACAGAGGGTCAGTGGGGGATGGGAACCCTGACCCCGAGGATGACGAGCGACTTTGACCTCACCCTGGACAGCGGACCCCTCCTGCAGACCATCCACCAGCTCGACTTTGTGCAGATGAAAGGTAAGAGAGCCTCAGAGCTGACTTCTCTGTTCTACAAACTGAACTCTCTGCAGAACTGGATTCATGGTTTATGGGGGGTTCGGACTCTCATTTTGACACTTCGATCATTTCCAACACAACGTGGACAAATGGACGAACAACAACACCGCATGTGACGAGTTGCTTTAGTTTTTTATGTCTTCTGAATGTGTGTTTGTGTGTGTGTTGGTCTCTCTCTTTCTCAGTCCCGGCTGCGCCGATGCTCCAGCTAGAGGAATGCTGCACTCAGAACAACAGCGCCACGTTGTCATGGAAACAGCCACCGCTCTCAACCATCGCCGTAGAGGGATACATCCTGGAGCTCGACGATGGAAACGGGGGGCCATTCAGGGTACGTTTCTCTGAGCGGGTATTCAGTTTGCATCTGCTTAATGAGACAGATTCACTTGTTCACCGTCAGAATAAAAGTCTCTGTGTGAGGTGAGGGTCATGTGATATACTGTACCCGTCAGAATAAAAGTCTCTGTGTGTATGGATGTGGTACATTAAGTCATCTTCTTTAATCCCAAACTTTTTGAATCTTTGAGTCATTCCGATGCTCAAAACCTAAGTCACGTTTTAAGTTGTAGAATATGAGCTACACTTTCATGGAGACTCGCCGCTTCATGCCGAGCTTGGCGGGTTGTGTACCCATGTCTATTAATATGTTGGTGTAGGCGGCCCGCCCATGCTCTGTTTTACAAACTCACACTCAGCATTGTGTCTGAAAGGCACTCTCCTCCACGAGCAGGGCTGGCCGGTTCTGTGTGTGTGCCATAAACACATTGCCTGACAGGAAGCACTGTGTGTCTCTACAGGAAGTGTACGTGGGGTCGGAGACCATCTGCACAGTGGATGGGCTTCACTTCAACAGCACGTATAAGTCCAGAGTGAAGGCCTTTAACGCCAGCGGGGTGGGTCAGTACAGCAAGACCCTGATCATGCAGACGTCAGAGAGTAAGAATCCTCTCCTCCTTCCCCTTTTATCATTATCATTTTTATTATTATTATATGTCTGACTATCTTTAAGGATAAATAAACTCTAAAAACAGAATTCATTCATGATGATCCAGATGTCGTTTAAATCTAAGATAAGATCACAAAAAGTGACAAGACTGAAAACTTTTCAAGTTTGGACCAAACAGAAGTCAAACTAAAGAGGAGGAGTCAAATATGAAACCAGGAGTCAAATATAAAACCAGGAGTCAAACTAAAGAGGAGGAGTCAAATATAAAACCAGGAGTCAAATATAAAACCAGGAGTCAAACTAAAGAGGAGGAGTCAAATATAAAACCAGGAGTCAAATATAAAACCAGGAGTCAAACTAAAGAGGAGGAGTCAAATATAAAACCAGGAGTCAAATATTAAACCAGGAGTCAAACTAGAGGAGGAGTCAAATATAAAACCAGGAGTCAAATATAAAACCAGGAGTCAAACTAAAGAGGAGGAGTCAAATATAAAACCAGGAGTCAAATATAAAACCAGGAGTCAAACTAAAGAGGAGGAGTCAAATATAAAACCAGGAGTCAAATATAAAACCAGGAGTCAAACTAAAGAGGAGGAGTCAAATATAAAACCAGGAGTCAAATATTAAACCAGGAGTCAAACTAGAGGAGGAGTCAAATATAAATCCAGGAGTCAAATATAAAACCAGGAGTCAAACTAAAGAGGAGGAGTCAAATATAAAACCAGGAGTCAAATATAAAACCAGGAGTCAAACTAAAGAGGAGGAGTCAAATATAAAACCAGGAGTCAAATATAAAACCAGGAGTCAAATATAAAACCAGGAGTCAAACTAAAAAGGAGGAGTCAAATGTTGGGCCTCAGCCATGTGCATGGGACAAGAGACTCAGGCCTGTATCGCAGTTCTCAAGCCTGAATAGAGTATTTTGGAGGGAACTGAACAAAGCACAGCAACCCCCCAACAGAAACCAACGAATAGGTGTGAAAAGTGGGGGGGTGTCTGAATTCTCTATCCTCATTGGAGGAGGCCTGAGGTAAACCCACAGGCAGCTCCAGTCTTTAAAAGCAATCACCAGGCATTGCTTCCTTCTCTTCAAGTGTGGTCTGCCGACACCAGAGGATACCCTCTCCATATGATGGACTCCAGCATTCGAGACAAAGCCTTTCCTCCTCTTGACTTACATAGGTTAAACTCCAGAGCTGAGGTTGCTCAGTATAGGTAGCTCTTCACATGCTGAATTCAAGCATCAGAGGATTCAGCTGACTACTTCCACTGCATATTTTTAGGAGTTTTGGGCGCAATCAGATGCTATCAGGTTCGAGCAAAAAGAAGAGTTTCTTTCCTTTGATTTTTCGTAAGACGTCATTGAACGCAACTGGACAGGAGTGCTGAAGAAAGCCCACTGATCCCTGAATCCACAAGGACACATAAAGAACTCGGCTCATGCAACCAGAAGACCCTATAGAGCAGCGCTCTGGTCGAAGATCTGAATCCCGCTACCCTCCTCCAACATCTGCCACGAAGGAAACCTGCCTGAATCTGTTGATTTAACATTCAACAGAGTGACGATCTAACCAACTTTGCAACGATCACCAGGAGTTACCGCAAGTAAGAGCTTTGGTCTGGGCAGAAATAGTTTCAGAAATAGTTATGTTTCTTTTATACCCACTGATAATTATGCATCATTGTTGACGTCACATTCTGTATATTATCTGTTGTAAGCTGCTGCATTTGTTTTATTGTAATGAACTGCTGTGTTCCTCTATGTGTTTAATGCTATGCTAGTTTACCTTCAGTCAACAGCTTTCACAATCAGAAAGACCAGTGTACCTGCCGTTGAATCAAAGTCCAGCCACTGGCTTTCTGGTGTTTAAGTAACAGTTACTGAACTCAGCTCAGAGAGCTCAAACTATTTCAAAAGGTAGCCACACGGCTTCCTTTGTCGTCCACCATTTTTGTCGAAGCCACATGGTGCATTGTCTCGCTCCACCATCTTGTTCTCTCTCTCTCTCTCTCTCTCTCTCTCTCACTCTCTCTCTCTCTCACTCTCTCTCTCTCTCTCTCTCTCTCTCTCTCTCTCTCTCTCTCTCTCTCTCTCACTCTCTCTACATACACACTCATCTGCACACACACACATTTACACCTCATCCACAAGCCTTTGCTTGATAATGTTTGTTGCTTAGATTAGTTTATAATAGTTATTTGTTTGATTAAGTTCATTGATTTTGGATTGATGTTGCTTTGTTTAAATAAATTCTGTTATAATTTAAGAGAGCAGTTGTTTGTGGTTACTGGTGTATTTACATTGTGATATAAGTTGGGTGCGAAGGCTTTGTGTACGGATTTCACGCCTTCAATTTATTAAATATAGTTATTCATTATTAATAATATTAGTAATTAAATAACTAATTTGAGACTGATTTGAGTGATATTTTGGTTATATTTACCTGATTACAGGTTGGTGCCCCAAAACGAGATTAAACATAGTTTAATGATATTTTATTTATATTATTAATAATTAAGTATAATTATTAAAAAATATAACCAAAGTTGACTTGATACAACCCCAACACAAATATAAAACCAGGAGTCAAATATAAAACCAGGAGTCAAATATAAAACCGGGAGTCGAATATAAAACCTGGAGTCAAACTAAAGAGGAGGAGTTGAATATAAAACCAGGAGTCAAATATAAAACCGGGAGTCGAATATAAAACCTGGAGTCAAACTAAAGAGGAGGAGTCAAATATAAAACCAGGAGTCAAACTAAAGAGGAGGAGTTGAATATAAAACCAGGAGTCAAACTAAAGAGGAGGAGTCAAACTAAAGAGGAGGAGTCAAACTAAAGAGGAGGAGTCAAATATAAAACCAGGAGTCAAGTATATATAATAAAATAAAGCTCCTATAACTTGACACAAACTGAGATGAATTGAAACCTGTGGATCGGTGGACAAACGTTGGATAAATGTTGGATCTTGAGTGACAAAATATTGAAACGCTTTCGGCTTAGTGATGATGAAACTCGTCTGTGATTGGTCGGCCTCAGTTTTTCCTTTCACTTGTAAAGGCTTGAAAGCAGCTGCGGACTGTCATTGTATCCTAACCTGTGTTCGAGAAACATTTATCTAACGATGTCCCAATTGATAATAAAAACTTAACTTAAAACAGTAGTGAATGTTTGAATCAAACGTTTTATTACTGAGATCTTGAGTCTCGTCCCAGCTGATAACAGGTGAGACACAGACGCATAGTATAATTGGCTGTGAGCTCTAATCAACAGGTATTGATGATTCCTTAGTGAGCTCTGCCGTCTCTCCTTCATCAAAGGGACATAAAGCTTTATCAGGAAGGGAATTCTGTTTGAAGGGTTTGTTTGTGCTGTTATTAAACCAGCCGGTTTGTCTTTAATCCTCTTAAGTGCTCGCCATCCCTTTACTTAAAGGTGCTCTGAATTAACAGGAAGCTAGCCTCTGATTGGCCGTCCTTCACTATGACCTGACTTCAGGGAAAGAACAGTCTCTCTGTTTTTTGTGATTATTCTTTGCAGCCCTGATAGTTTTTTTTTCCAGCCTCCTTGTTGAACCTGCTTCTTCTTCCCCACTCCGCCCCCCCCCCCCACACTGTCTACTTCACTGCTTCGCCTCGCTGTCTTCCCCCCTTTTTTCCTTTCTTCCCTGTTTCTTTCTGCCCCTCCTCCCCCTTCGTTTTACATTTCAGCTGGACTCCCTCCATGCGATATTCAGTCTATAGGCACAGGTATGGACAGCTTTCACTGCTGAGTGTTTCCTCTCCTCTCTCATCTGTGCAGTGTTCATTGTCAACCAGCAGGGGGCAGTTTGCTGCTCTGTGGGCTCACTTCAGGGTTAGCCCACAGAGCATGAATATGAAGCACACACACATCTGTCTGTGAAACATTTCTCCGTTTACAGAGCCCCTGCTTCTCTCTCATCAAACCTGAGTCAAACTAATTGTTCACAGTTTGATTTTTCTTGGAATGACGAGCTGCCTTAAAGGGTCACCTCATCCAAAACAAAGTAAGGTATCAATCCATGCAGATGTTAACAGCTGTTTCTGACAAACCAACAAACAAGAGCTCTGCCACTTTAATCTGAAAAAACAAAGTTTGGTATCAATCCATGCAGATGCTAACAGCTGTTTCTGCTGAGGTTTCAAGTCAACAACACGAACAAAGTAAAGTCAAACACAACATAAACGTCTTTCTACAAAGTTATCTTGTGTGAAAAATCAGTTTGTGAGCATCCCTCTGGTGTGTGCGTCCCTCAAGTGTGAGTACCCCTCAGGCATGAGTGTCCCTCAAGTGTGAGTGCCCCTCAGGCATGAGTGTCCCTCAAGTGTGAGTGTCCCTCAGGCATGAGTGTCCCTCAGGCGTGAGTGCCCTTCAGGCGTGAGTGTCCCTCAAGTGTGAGTGTCCCTCAGGCATGAGTGTCCCTCAAGTGTGAGTGCCCCTCAGGCGTGAGTGTCCCTCAAGTGTGAGTGTCCCTCAGGCATGAGTGTCCCTCAGGCGTGAGTGTCCCTCAGGCGTGAGTGTCCCTCAAGTGTGAGTGCCCCTCAAGTGTGAGTGTCCCTCAGGCGTGAGTGTCCCTCAAGTGTGAGTGTCCCTCAGGCGTGAGTGTCCCTCAAGTGTGAGTGCCCCTCAGGCGTGAGTGCCCCTCAGGCGTGAGTGTCCCTCAAGTGTGAGTGTCCCTCAGGCGTTAGTGTCCCTCAGGCATGAGTGTCCCTCAAGTGTGAGTGCCCCTCAGGCGTGAGTGTCCCTCAGGCGTGAGTGCCCCTCAGGCGTGAGTGCCCCTCAGGCGTGAGTGCCCCTCAAGCGTGAGTGTCCCTCAGGCGTGAGTGTCCTCAAGTGTGAGTGCCCCTCAGGCGTGAGTGCCCCTCAGGCGTGAGTGTCCCTCAGGCGTGAGTGTCCCTCAAGTGTGAGTGTCCCTCAGGCGTTAGTGTCCCTCAGGCGTGAGTGTCCCTCAGGCGTGAGTGTCCCTCAGGCGTGAGTGTCCCTCAGGCGTGAGTGCCCCTCAGGCGTGAGTGCCCCTCAGGCGTGAGTGTCCCTCAAGCGTGAGTGTCCCTCAGGCGTGAGTGTCCTCAAGTGTGAGTGCCCTCAGGCGTGAGTGTCCCTCAGGCGTGAGTGCCCCTCAGGCGTGAGTGCCCCTCAGGCGTGAGTGCCCCTCAGGCGTGAGTGCCCCTCAGGCGTGAGTGCCCCTCAGGCGTGAGTGCCCCTCAGGCGTGAGTGTCCCTCAGGCGTGAGTGTCTTTAAGGTAAAGGTAAATGTTCAGGTCTCATTTCCACGACATGAACTGCTGTTGGATTCTTTAAGTGACCTTTTTTTTAACCCTTATAAAAGATCTCAGATATCTTTCATGCGTCTGTTTTGATGCAGAGATGAAGCAAAATTGAATTGGATGAAGGTCATCAGATTAACCTGCCGACTGTTTGATGCAGCTCTGATATTATTATTATTATTATTATTATTATTGATAATATTATTGTTGTTATGTATGAAAGTTACAGATCTTGGCTCCTCTTTCCAAAAACAGCTCTTACTTTGAAATTACAGCACATTCAGTCGAACCCTCACCTGACGATGAATTCATGTTTTTCACAGTTGGGCGGAAGTGAAATCATAATAATAAAATAAAAATAAACTAAACTAAGACTAAAATTCCTCTGAGTGATAAAATATTTAAAACTCATCAAATCAAATGTATTTATGGATCAAATTTAATAAAACGATGCAGACTTCGACTGTTGTTGGAGAAAGAAGCCAAAGAACTGAGCTCATAGAAGTTAAGGTCTTACAGCGTGATGCGAAGAACTAAGCCGTGTGGTGGTGAAAATGAATCATCATGTGTTCTCTGTCATGAAGTCATTTTATATAGTGCATCTTCACCTCATCTTACCTGCAGCCTGTACGCTCTCAACCCGTTGTCACGCCGCCATCTTTCCTCCACTCTCTCAGTGTTGGTGCTGAACAAAAATGCGTGTTATTATTCCTGTGTTCGTGTTACAGTAGCTTGGTTCACCTTTGACCCGGCCTCGGCTCACCCGGACATTATCCTCTCCAACGACAACCTGACGGTGACGTGCAACAGCTATGACGACCGGGTGGTCATGGGAAACTCCTCCTTCTCCCGCGGCATTCATTACTGGGAAATGACCATCGATCGCTACGACAACCACCCCGACCCAGCCTTCGGGGTCGCTAGGGGCGATGTCCTGAAGGATGTGATGCTGGGGAAGGACGACAAGGCATGGGCCATGTATGTGGACAACAACCGCTCCTGGTTCATGCACAACAACTCACACACCAACAGGTAAGAATCACCTGAGTCATTTCCTCAAGTCTTACATTGTTTCACTCACTAACCCTAACCGCAACTTCTTACGTTACAAAAAGTACCCGCTACCCAGGACTTTATTGGTTTCATCGTAGCACAGGCTCCCGGTATGAAAGTAATCAATAACAGATTTTAAACTCATTGCTATTACAAATAGAGCTCTGCCACTTTAATCTGAATAACAACAAACAAGAGCTCTGCCACTTTAATCTGAATAACAACAAGCAAGAGCTCTGCCACTTTAATCTGAATAACAACAAACAAGAGCTCTGCCACTTTAATCTGAATAACAACAAACAAGAGCTCTGCCACTTTAATCTGAATAACAACAAACAAGAGCTCTGCCACTTTAATCTGAATAACAACAAACAAGAGCTCTGCCACTTTAATCTGAAAAAAAGAAATTAGAGCTCTGCCACTTTAATCTGAATAACAACAAACAAGAGCTCTGCCACTTTAATCTGAAAAAAAGAAATTAGAGCTCTGCCACTTTAATTGCTGGCTGCTATCTCCAAAAGTGTGTGTGTGTGTGTGTGTGTGTGTGTGTGTGTGTGTGTGTGTGTGTGTGTGTGTGTGTGTGTGTGTGTGTGTGTGTGTGTGTGTGTGTGTGTGTGTGTGTGTATTTGTGTGTTTGTTTATGTCTGTGTGTTGATGTAGGACGGATGGAGGCATCAGTAAAGGCTCTACGATCGGGGTGCTGCTGGACTTCAGCCGTGGGATCCTCATCTTCCTCATCAATGATGAGCAGCAGGGCCCCGTGGCGTTTGAAAGCCTGGAGGGCGCCTATTACCCGGCCATCAGCATCAACAGAAATGTCCAGGTACACAAAGATACTGTGTTAATGTTAACACACCTGTAGAACCTGACGGGTTAGAGTCAATAAACTGGTTTTTAGTACAGAAAGGACCAGGATGTGGTACTAGGCTGAACACATTAAACCCTAACCCCATCACCCAGTTTACACTTAGCTGTAGGTGGTACAGGTATTCAACAGGTAACAAAAGTGTAGTTGTTGTGTTCATTTTGTTTATTTGTTGTTGTAGTTGTTGTTGTTGTGTGTTGTTGAATAAACAAACAGAAACAGCTCTCACATCATGAAAACACATTAAACACCATTAAAAGGACTTTTAGTGTCCCAGTTTATTTGAGAAGCATTCAAAGATGTAGGCCTTTAAAGCAGCTCTAGGGGGTGCTGTCTGCATGTGTGTGAGCAGTGTGTCAATGCTCTTTGTCTGTGGGTAAAGAAAGCAAACTGAGGAAAAAGTTCAACAGCACCCCCTGCAGGGAAGAATACAGAGCACATGTCCTCCCCTGATTTATTAACATGTACTGTATTTGAATGTGTTTCTGCTCAGGTCACACTGCACACTGGACTTCCCATTCCGGATTTCTACACCCCCGGGGAGGCTGATCCCACCGGCTCTGTGTGCTAAACACTCCAGATCTCACAGTCATTTTGTGGAAACCTCTGCAGGATTCATCCAGCCAATCAGTGATGTAGATCCCATCCTCACCCTGCCCCCCTCTCCTCCTCCTGACCCCTGTACTGTAACTCTCTGCCAGGGGCCCTTCCAGCGCTGAGCCATGCCTTTATCATGCCTAAACCTTGAACACACAGAGAGCGTCTGCAGGTCAGAGCATAGGGTGCTTGACAAGCTGTTCCACCTCTTCTGACGTGACGGACAACGTTTTAGAAATCCTGCAGAAACCTGAAAATGACTTCAAGCTGATGGATTCGGACTAATGTGCAACGATCATCGGGTGAACTCATGGAATACAGCTTTTTCTCTTTTGCTTTATGTTATATGAGGATATTGATACCACCTTTATACCTCTTTGCTGAACATGAAGCCAACCTTGGGCTATCTTAGCATAATGAATAAAATAAGAGAGGATAGTGATCCTCCAGCCCGGCTTTGTCCAAAGTTTAAAACGTGTCTCCCAGCACATCCAAAACCCATCATGCTTTATTCTGTACAGAACCTGAATGTAATGTGGAGGTTTTAGAAGCACACGGATTATTCAAACTCAGAAATATGTAAATAAGGAACTCTGGAGGGCGGAGTGTGTTCACACATATTTAGCATAGTGCTAATAATAATAATGAAATATTGAGCTACATCTTTAAGAAGGGATGTTTTTAAACAAGTAGAAAAAGTCTTCTTCTTCTTTCTGACTGAGTCTGTTCCTGCCGACAACCTGAAACATTTCAAACCTGCGAGAGGTCGGACGGTTAAAACTCATGACCTCTGACCTCTCAGCTGAAGTCTCATCGTCCGTGTTCACAAGACGCTTTTTTTCGTGGCTTTGCTCCTGTGAATAAAGCGCTAAAGTAATAATCTGTGCAGAATTCATCTGCACTGCAGCTCTCATAGATCCCTTAACCCCAATACATAGAAGAAGACGGCAAACTGTGAGTGCTGGAAATGCTGGGAAGTGTGATCATGTTGAGGGTGATGCTCGTTGCTTCTTCTGTATTTTTGTAGTCGAATCTTCGGTGGTTTTGTAAGATATAAAATATACGACTTGATAATTTTAGAGACGTGTGAAGAAAAATAAGTTATTGATGTTTTCCAACAAGAGTTAAATGTTGTAAAGTTTAAACAGAAAGTTTGATCTTTAACTGAAGAGGCTTTTTAAAATATTGTCTTCAATGTCGACTAACAGGAAAGGAAGACGGTGCGTTGGGAACTTTTTCTGGCAACAGATTTGGGCAACAGCAACTTCTACAAATTCAGCAATTTCAAGAGCAAAACAACTTCAGATAAAACAGTTTAGCTTCTGAAGTACTTTGAATGCTTACATGTTAAGTCAGTCTTAGTAATGGTCTAATGTGCATAGTGTTAGCATGCTAACATGCTAAAACAGCCAGCACTAGCATGCTAACATTAAACACGTACAGATGATGGGAGGATCGTTAGTCTGACGATGATCTTTGATTATGAAAACATTTCTTGTTTCAGTTTTAATGACAGAGTTAAAGAATGAAATTATTTAGACTGAACTCAACACCATTCATCCTCTGGTCACTTTCGTGACTCATCGTGAAATTATCTCCAGAGTCTGAAAACCCATCTTGTGGGGAAGATGAATGTCAGAGAAACTATATTTTTAGTATATTTGTAGAGTCAATGAAAACTTTAACCTGCTGGTGGCGCTAGAGGAAAGTCCAGGATCGAGAAAGTTCACGGAGTTCATCTTCTGGGGGCCATGGGCGTCAGTACTAAAGTTTATGGAAGCTTATTCTTCCACTTTAAATACATCTCGACCTCTTGGTGCGTCAGAGGGTATATCCTCTGCAGACCCTGAACAAGATTAAAGATGCTGCTCTAACTCGGAAATATTTCATGGAATAAATCAAAAGTTACTTCTGCTGCTTGAGAGACCATAATGTGATGGATCATCCTGTAAGGACCATAATGTGATGGATCATCCTGTGGGGACCATAATGTGATGGATCATCCTGTAAGGACCATAATGTGATGGATCATCCTGTAAGGACCATAATGTGATGGATCATCCTGTGGGGACCATAATGTGATGGATCATCCTGTAAGGACCATAATGTGATGGATCATCCTGTAAGGACCATAATGTGATGGATCATCCTGTAAGGACCATAATGTGATGGATCATCCTGTAGGGGACCATAATGTGATGGATCATCCTGTAGGGACCATAATGTGATGGATCATCCTGTAGGGGACCATAATGTGATGGATCATCCTGTAAGGACCATAATGTGATGGATCATCCTGTAGGGACCATAATGTGATGGATCATCCTGTAAGGACCATAATGTGATGGATCATCCTGTGGGGGACCATAATGTGATGGATCATCCTGTAAGGACCATAATGTGATGGATCATCCTGTAGGGGACCATAATGTGATGGATCATCCTGTAAGGACCATAATGTGATGGATCATCCTGTAGGGGACCATAATGTGATGGATCATCCTGTAAGGACCATAATGTGATGGATCATCCTGTAAGGACCATAATGTGATGGATCATCCTGTAAGGACCATAATGTGATGGATCATCCTGTAGGGACCATAATGTGATGGATCATCCTGTAAGGACCATAATGTGATGGATCATCCTGTAGGGGACCATAATGTGATGGATCATCCTGTGGGGGACCATAATGTGATGGATCATCCTGTAAGGACCATAATGTGATGGATCATCCTGTGGGGGACCATAATGTGATGGATCATCCTGTAGGGGACCATAATGTGATGGATCATCCTGTGGGGACCATAATGTGATGGATCATCCTGTGGGGGACCATAATGTGATGGATCATCCTGTGGGGGACCATAATGTGATGGATCATCCTGTAGGGACCATAATGTGATGGATCATCCTGTAAGGACCATAATGTGATGGATCATCCTGTAAGGACCATAATGTGATGGATCATCCTGTAGGGGACCATAATGTGATGGATCATCCTGTAAGGACCATAATGTGATGGATCATCCTGTGGGGGACCATAATGTGATGGATCATCCTGTGGGGGACCATAATGTGATGGATCATCCTGTGGGGGACCATAATGTGATGGATCATCCTGTAAGGACCATAATGTGATGGATCATCCTGTAGGGGACCATAATGTGATGGATCATCCTGTAGGGGACCATAATGTGATGGATCATCCTGTGGGGACCATAATGTGATGGATCATCCTGTGGGGGACCATAATGTGATGGATCATCCTGTGGGGGACCATAATGTGATGGATCATCCTGTAAGGACCATAATGTGATGGATCATCCTGTAAGGACCATAATGTGATGGATCATCCTGTAGGGGACCATAATGTGATGGATCATCCTGTAGGGGACCATAATGTGATGGATCATCCTGTAAGGACCATAATGTGATGGATCATCCTGTAAGGACCATAATGTGATGGATCATCCTGTAGGGACCATAATGTGATGGATCATCCTGTAAGGACCATAATGTGATGGATCATCCTGTAAGGACCATAATGTGATGGATCATCCTGTAGGGGACCATAATGTGATGGATCATCCTGTAAGGACCATAATGTGATGGATCATCCTGTGGGGGACCATAATGTGATGGATCATCCTGTGGGGGACCATAATGTGATGGATCATCCTGTAAGGACCATAATGTGATGGATCATCCTGTAGGGGACCATAATGTGATGGATCATCCTGTGGGGGACCATAATGTGATGGATCATCCTGTGGGGGACCATAATGTGATGGATCATCCTGTAAGGACCATAATGTGATGGATCATCCTGTAAGGACCATAATGTGATGGATCATCCTGTAGGGGACCATAATGTGATGGATCATCCTGTAGGGGACCATAATGTGATGGATCATCCTGTAAGGACCATAATGTGATGGATCATCCTGTAAGGACCATAATGTGATGGATCATCCTGTAAGGACCATAATGTGATGGATCATCCTGTGGGGGACCATAATGTGATGGATCATCCTGTGGGGGACCATAATGTGATGGATCATCCTGTAGGGACAGATGTATGAGTAGTAGTAAGAAAATGAAATCTGACAATTCTTCCATGCTCGTATGAACATTGTGGTGACACTCAAGGAGAATTAATCAACCATTGAGATGTATTCTCTGGACCATGAATGTCAGTATGAAATATCATGGCACGTTGCTTAAGGACACAAATACCAGCAATATGTTGCCGCTGTGGATCGAGTAATTTCAGTCTGCTGCTGGCCAGGATAACCCTCACCCTGGTCCATTTGGGGAAACTGTTGCCTCTCTGCGTTGCCCTAAAACCGTTGCCTGGCTTTGTACTCCATACATGTGGAGCGTTCAAATCAGGTGACGTTCTATGTTAGAGCGTCATAGCGTGCCTTTTCCCCTCTTAAAGAAGCATCGTCTGTAAAATGTGCTCTCCATACATTTACTAAAACTGACTCTTATGGCTCTCCATACATTTACTAAAACTGACTCTTATGGCTCTCCATACATTTACTAAAACTGACTCTTATGGCTCTCCATACATTTACTAAAACTGACTCTTATGGCTCTCCATACATTTACTAAAACTGACTCTTATGGCTCTCCAAACATTTACTAAAACTGACTCTTCAGAGCGAATAAGAAGTATGGTAGTTTGTCCAATCAGGGCTCCCATATAGAAAGTTAAGCTGGTTGTTTAATTGGCGTTTGTTTATCGTTCGTCAAGTGTTAATTATAAAAGGGTAGGGGTATAAGAGAGTCACCCCCCCACCCCCCAATCAGCTCAGGCTGCAACACAGGCGTCCAACCAGAGGACTGCTCTGCACGCCTCAAACATCTGATCATGAATAATTATCTCCTCCTGAAAGAGTGTGTGTGTGTGTGTGTGTGTGTGTGTGTGTGTGTGTGTGTGTGTGTAGAAATTAAACTATAAACATTAATAGTATAATTTAATGATTTAATTATTAAATGTCTGATTCCTGAAGTCTTGATGATCAAAGTGTAATTATTCTGTTTTTTTTCTTTGTGTCAGTATTCAATAAAAAATAGACGTAAACAACGTCTGCACGTTCTATCTTTCATATATCTATAAACCATATCTCTATAGACCGTATAAATATATACAGTATATATAATCATGACTACATTGAACCAGCAGCTCTTCCTCTCTGGTCTCTGTTCACTCTGAGCAGCTGAGCAGGAAACACCCTCCCCCTTCACCAACCAATCAGAAGCAGCAGAAGGAGGAGACCTGTGCATGAAAAAGAGACACCACCTCACCTTTCCACCTCACTCCCAGTCAGGACACCATCGGTTTACCCGTTACAGGAGACAAGACAGGGTCAGTTAACCCGGGACAGGAGACAGGACAGGGTCAGTTAACCCGGGACAGGAGACAGGACAGGGTCAGTTAACCCGGGACAGGAGTCAGGACAGGGTCTGTTAACCCGGGACAGGAGTCAGGCAGCATGGCGACCCCTCTGAGTGACCAGGAGAAACGGAGGCAGATCAGCATCAGGGGGATCGTAGGGGTGGAGAACGTGGCGGAGCTGAAGAAAGGCTTCAACCGTCACCTGCACTTCACGCTGGTCAAAGACAGGAACATCGCCACGCCCCGAGATTATTACTTCGCTCTGGCTCACACTGTGAGGGATCACCTGGTGGGCAGGTGGATCCGAACCCAGCAGTTTTACTACGAAGCTGACCCAAAGGTAAACTGTGTCCCACTGTAAGCTGCAGAGTGTTTACATCATGAGACCGTGAAGGAAGTGGACTCAGAAATACATTTCATGAGCACCTGAATCATTTCAATGACAGTAAACGTTTGTTTTGATACTCTTCTTGAAACGATCCGCAGTATTTCTACTTCTTTGCATCATGTTCACTCTCATTCATTTCCTGCAGCTTCAAGCCAAGTTCACCACAAACATGTTTTTCAAAGATTATAACCAAGAAGAGTGCAAACAAAGCAGACGCCTCATGTTTGTTTTCTTCACCCCTGCAGAGGGTTTATTATCTGTCTCTGGAGTTTTACATGGGCAGGACGCTCCAGAACACCATGATCAACCTGGGGCTGCAGAACGCCTGCGATGAGGCCATCTACCAGGTCAGACTCGAGAACTAATTGACCCTAACCTTACCATGTGACGCTTCTGTGATGATGTCCTGTTCTGCTAAAAGTCAACATACAGCTCTTTATTCCTCCTGCTGCAGCTGGGCCTGGACATGGAGGAGCTGGAGGAGATGGAGGAGGATGCAGGTCTTGGGAATGGAGGTCTGGGCAGACTGGCAGGTAAGAGGTTGTAGGTGTTTGCAATGAGTGGGGGGACCTTTTTAAAAAGTGTCTAATTATGTGAGGAAAACAGCACTGAGCCCTGATGTTACAAATTGTGGTGTTATAGTTTTATGTTTGATGCTCTTGGTGGAACACAGATTCCCCTTTAATGTAAATCTCTTTAAGCTGCACATCTTAAACCGAGATAAAAAATGTCCAAGGTTTGAATAAAATCCTCCAAATATACTAAACGTCAGCCAAACACATCATCTCTGCCACAACAATCCTCCATCATAGTTTCAGGGCTGTCCACCTAATTCCTCTGTGTCCGTTGAACTGTTAAAGCAACTTGCAGACTCAGAAAGCAGCAACGGAAAATATCCCTGCACCTCCCCTACCAGCAGCTTCATGAGCAGCCCTCTGTGCGTCTGTTATGACCCTTTTCTCTCCACACAGCTTGTTTCTTGGACTCCATGGCCACCCTGGGCCTTGCAGCATATGGTTACGGCATTCGATATGAATATGGAATCTTTAACCAGAAGATAAGAGATGGCTGGCAGGTAGATCAAAACATCTTTTTTACTCAGATCAGTTTAACAAAAACACAATCACCTGCTAATCTTCTGACTCCCCTTTAAATGCAGTCCTATAACCCTGACCCTCCCCTAAGTTCAGGACTCTTTGTCCGTGCATATTTATGCCATAAGGACTGGTGGAGCAGGTCACAGTAGAAATGAATGAGGTCAGAATACATTATGGTTAATCATTAACATTAACTCACCTTGCGGTCTACAGCCCTTTAGCCTCACTGCAGTGGTGCAACAGACTCCGGATCAAAGCTGGGTGGTTTTACGAAAAGAAACAAAATCAACTTTGTGTGTTCTGTGATAAGAGATGCCCAAACTAAAGGCTTTTGCCCTTTTGAATTCTTCTTGTTACTGCTGTTCAAACATCAGTGTACACATCAACTCTGAACACTGAACTGGATCTTTACTCACTGATACTGGGGGGCATAAAAGTTAAATCTCTGCTGCTGTAGTTGGAAGTGAAAGCAGAAGAAATTAAAAACGGCACAAATCTGATCTAATCTTGGACCTGTCGCGTTAAATCACAGGAGATAAATTCTTCTTCTTAATTCAGTGTGCAGTGTAGAAGTCAGACAGATAAGGTGGAGTTTCATGTTTTACTCAATGTGCTACTCAAACATGACATATCATCTTGACTCTTTTTGTCCCTAAATTGAACCGATCTGCTGCAGGTGGAGGAGGCAGACGACTGGCTGAGGCACGGAAACCCCTGGGAGAAAGCACGTCCAGAGTACATGCTGCCAGTTCACTTCTACGGACGAGTAGAGGAGACGAAAGACGGCTCCAAATGGGTCGACACGCAGGTACTGAAGATGAGTTTTATAAGAGCAGGTGCTGCTGGGTAAGAACAGAAGTGCGGTGGGCAGGGTTAGTCTCCGTATGGCGTTAGAAGGTGATGGGTAGTTTATCACCACTATGATCATGAAGAGTCCTGTGATCCTGACCAGGAAGTGTTCATCTTAAAGATCAGCAGTTCAAGAAGAGACAACAAATACAAAAAAACTCATAATGATGGAAATTATATAAAATGCAATTATATTCCTGAAAGCAATGCTACAGGCATCAGGAAATTTTCACAAGAACCAGGAACCTTCAGAGAAACTCAGGCTATTTCTGACCCAACAACCAGGGGAGTAACAAAAACAAAACACATGTTGAACAGACAGAAACCTGGATCAGAACCAGACTCATTATGAACAGGCATCTGATGCAACTGTGGTGGGCTTCGACAGGGGGATAGAAGGAGATGCAGAGAGCGCTATAATTTATTGAATTGAAATTGAACTATGAGGTTTATCAAAACGGAAATTTAAGTGTATTCTTGTGTCCAGTCAGGGTCTCCTAGACCCTAACCCGCCTGATAACTGAAGGCTCTACCTCCCGATCAACTGAAAACCAACAATCTATTTTCTTCCTGCTGACTCTGTTTTCACCTTTATCTCGCTTCAGGTGGTTTTGGCGATGCCTTATGACACGCCCATCCCTGGCTACATGAACAACACTGTGAACACCATGAGGCTGTGGTCCGCCCGCGCTCCCAATGACTTTAATTTGAGAGACTGTGAGTGGGTTCATTTATTACCATTTCTAAAGTGAAAAATACATTTGCAAAACATTCTGCGGGTTTCCTTTTGTGTTTCAAAAGAAAAAAACTTTGTAAGAAAAAAGGAAACTGCTGCAACTCTGGCAGCATGCAGCAACACGTCTGTGTTGCAACACAGCTGAAGAGCTGCAGTTTCCTCTACTACAGAGTTTAAGTTCTGACCTTGCATTGCAAACACTGTAACATGATAAATATATATAGATCAATGTAACCTGACTTGACCTTGTCTGTAGTTAACGTTGGAGATTACATCCAGGCTGTCCTGGACAGAAATCTGGCCGAGAACATCTCCCGTGTTCTCTACCCCAACGACAATGTAAGATTTAGCACTTAAATTCATTTCAAAAGTTATTTAGGTCCAACGATTCCTGAATGTTCACAAGATCTTCAAACAGAAATCATTTCTTCAGGACACTGATAATCTTTGGTCTCATAAAAACCTCCACCTCTCCTCTCTGGGCGTATTACTCTAAAGTTCTTTGAAGGAAAAGAACTGCGTCTGAAGCAGGAGTACTTTGTCGTGGCCGCCACACTCCAAGACATCATCCGCCGCTTCAAGACCACCAAGAAGGGCAGTCCCGGCCGGACCTCCTTTGAGGGTTTCCCCGACAAAGTGAGTCTGAAAATGAGCCTTAGAGCAGAGATGGAGCTTTGTTACTTCTTTGAAGTCCTTGTCTCTTCTGTCACCCCTTTGTTTCTTTCTCAAAAGTGCTGTACCTAAGGGAAATAGCTGCATCCTACTTTAACTGTACTGAGGATGTAAATGATGAATAAGCACAAGTGAATGAAAAACGGCTTTGCCAAGCCAGTCGCATCTTTAACGAGACAGACTAAATTACTTCCTGCAAAGCAGAACCAGCAGTTACATCTCTGAAGAGACTTTACTCTGGATGGGTCGACCCGAGGAGACTTTACTCTGGACGGGTCGACCTTCTTTCTAGATAATAGAGCTGCCGTCTCTAGCTAGCAGACCAGGTTTTCCCCAAAAAGACTGCCAGTTATCTATGAAGCCCACATCGTGTGCTGGACACCACCTCGACAGCCAGCGGTTGAGTGATGACATGCGGCTATACATGTCATCACTGGTCTGATTTGGGTGGGGTCTTGTCTCTAACACTCCTCCACAGATAGCAGTTGAGATGGTGTATAAACTATTACTAAACTACTAATATAAGAAGGTGACGCCACTTTGACTAACCCTAAGTCATGTTTCAGGTCGCCATCCAGCTGAACGACACTCATCCCGCCATGGCGATCCCGGAGCTGATGAGGATCTTTGTGGACATAGAGAAACTGGACTGGGACACGGTGGGTGAGAGTCAAAGCACGGCCAAACCACAGAGGGTGAAAAATCAAACTGTCATCTCTGTGTTGCAAAATGTTTGTGTGAAAGAAACCGTCAGCTAGGGTTAGGAAGGAAGACTTTTTAGACACACGAAACATAGAAAAGAAGAAGTTAGAAGATGATGAGTCGTAGCTGTCTGAGGACTAAAACAGACACATCTCTATATATTTCACTTTAATGTAAATCAGAGTTATTCTAATTCATACTTAAAACAAAATGACCTTCATACAAACATGTGTGCATGTGAATCAGAGCTCAGTTAAGTTCCTCCTCTGCAGGCCTGGGACCTGACGAAGCGCACCTTCGCCTACACCAACCACACGGTCCTCCCTGAAGCGCTGGAGCGCTGGCCTGTGGAGCTGCTGGAGA